AATTTTTATTTCAAGTGGCATTAAAAAGTCTTGAATTTAACTTGCCTTATGCTGTAGGAACCCTGCTACACTAATAAGTCTTCAACTAGATGAACCTCGGCACCATGTAGACATGCTAAAATCCTGGTGTGAATTATCTTTATGTACTTATTTTCTGCAAAATCTTGTAATAGTATTTATTCCCCATTTCACGTTTAATCTTTTTATTGGGAATTGTTTATGAACCAAAATAAGGTTATACATATTTTAAGAGTGATGAAGTCAGATTATTCAGACCTATTGCGTAAATTCTTTAGAAACACATTTTTAGTGCAATCACAGCAACACATGTTTAGTTTTGTGTCTTTAGCTTTGCATATCTTGGAAAGCTAGACTAGTTTTTTTTTGTTTTTTTTATAATTTTCTTTTTCTTTTTTTTATAATTTGCCTCTAATTGGCTCTTTTTCCAGTCTTCTCCTCCATCTGTTTGTCCATTAGCTTTATCCAGCTTTCCTGCCCCAGATAACGAAAAGTACCCCATACAGGCCTGCTACCGCTACTGTGCCCCGTGATAGGAGCATGGAAGAACTGCGATGCTGCTGAGTCAGTCAGAATGATTCCACCAGGTGCACTGCCGTGTATTTCTGAAGCATCTCCGTGAAGTTGGCACTCACGTAGCTTTTCCACTTCTATTTTTGCAACTTGCCATACTGACCCTATGTCAATCTGGAGCAGAACGAATCATCCAGACAAGAAAGCAGATGATTGAAGAAAAAGTTGATCCTGTCGAGTTTTCAAATAGAAAACTACATGGTGCAGACTGTTGATCGCATTTCCTAGACTTCGGTGTAATAACTAATTCAGTTTAAACTAAAAAGCAAACAAAAATTACTGTTAAATTGAAACAAATATTTGAGCTCACACCAATAATAGATCCAAAGAAAAGAAGGGAAGGTATTAGATAGAAAGAAGGTAACTGAGGTGTGGGTATTACTGGCTAAATAGCCACTTTCCTCTTTTATGTAAAGCCTAAAAGTACACTATTAAAGCCTCACATGATCAAACCAAACAGAGGCTCTGCTCTGAAATATTCCCGGTCGAATAGGGTGCTTCCCAAAAAGCACAGCGCTTCCATATTCAGTGGGACCCCATCTGTCAGTGCTCCTTTTGCACCAAATAGCAGTTTGTCATGAGGAAATGTTGAGTTTTGGCCTGTGCAGCATGCCTGCAGGGTCTCTCACCTACGTGGCTTGTGATACACTGGGAAAAGGACTTCTTCTTGCTTTCTGCCAGAAAGTGTTTTCTTTTTACCATTAATCTATAAAAGCCTAAAATTACAGAACGCAACTTTTGACAAACTCCCAACTGAGCTGTGGACCTGTGTAGCTCCTCCAGAGATGTGCTAGGGGTTTTTCTTATACCCGCTTCTTTGAATAATACTCTTCCAATCAGTGAAGAAGAGCAGCTATGTTTTTATGTTTGCAGTCAGACTTCAATTTTGAATTAGGGGTTAAATAGTTGCCTGTATTGAAAGGTTGTAATAATGTTTCTTAACCAAATCTGCTTTAAACTTTTCTACAACTTAAAAAAAATTAAAACTATTTTGTTTTAGCTTAGCACAAAGCTCTCAAAAAACTTCAAAGGTTAGAATAAATGCTGACATGTTTTTTTTTTTTTGTAAAGTTATCCTTACTTATTAAGCCTTGCATGACATTAAATAATATATTTAAGCCTTTATCTTGATTTACCACATAACTTCATATTTCTACTGAAATTTCAGCTTTGATTTCATGTTTTATACATTTATATTGGAGGACTTTGTGCCAATGAAGGTTCCTCTTGTATCATGCTTGTGTTTTTCACTATTGCTTCCTCGTGTTCTGCAAAATTCCTTTTAAGTTTCCTTAACTAACAGCTTTATCCAGACATTGACCAGTGGAATAAAGTGATTGAGATTCTGGGTACGCCAAGTCTAGAGTTTATGAACCGACTCATGGAGACCGTCAGGAACTATGTGATGAACAAGCCGCAGTATCCAGGCGTCAGCTTCACAGACCTGTTTCCAGATTGGGCTTTTCCTTCTGAGTCTGAGCAGGACAAAGTGAAAAGTAAGAGCTTTGGTCACTTAAACTCAGCTTTTATTTGTCATAAATTATTCTGTTGATCTGCTCTGTGATGCAGCTTATTTTTGGGATGGAAATTAAAAAGAGAGTTCAGTATAAATGTTTGTTTGCTAATCTTATAGATCATGTTTAGTGTTAGTAAAAATGTTGGCCTGCATAGCAGGAAGCTGCTATAAAGTTTAACGCATGGTAACGCTTTCCCTGCTGCCTTAACAGCTGCGCAGGCACGAGACCTCCTCTCCAAAATGCTGGTCATTGATCCTGAATGTCGTATATCTGTTGAAGAAGCCCTTCACCACCCCTACATCCATGTGTGGTACGACCCTGCAGAGGCCGACGCGGTGAGGGAACCGTTGGTTCATTTCCTCTGCAGAGTAACCGTGCATGACTTTACCCTGATGGAGCTTGTTCTGTTTGTTTCTTAGCCTCCGCCCCAGATCTCAGATAAACAGCTGGAAGAGAGGGAGCACTCCATCGAGCAGTGGAAAGGTGATACACCGCCCTCTAGGGACAACAAACAGCATTACACTTTACTCGTTTATATTATTCCCTGGGTTTCTGCGGTCCTGAAGTATGGAACTGGACATTTGAGGGTTTTTCTAATCTAGTTAAGTATTCATTAAGGGAAAATATTTGTATTTTTAGATCTTGATAAGCTGCTCTTTACACATCTGCTTTTAATTCTATATAAGAAATGCTAACGGGAAAAACTAGGTTAGTTGATCTCTCCCAATCTTCATCTATACTGTATATTCATCTGTATCTCCACCCGTCATCCAATCTTTCATTTGTCTGTCCGTCTGTTCATCCGTCCATCCGAGCTTGTATTAATCTCCATCCATCAGTCCCAGTGTCTCTCTGTCCATGTATCTGATCATTATTTCTCTCATTCTTTGATTTCTAGTTAAAGTCCAAAGTAATAATAAAAAAGAAAAATATTTTTTTTCTTTTTAAGTGCATTTACTTCCATTTTCTAATGAAAAAATAAATAAGAAATTTATTGGGGACACCAGCACAAATGTTGGGTGCACCCAATCTTTTTTTTTTTTTTTTTTTTTTTTTTTTATCGCTGTTTATATTAACAATATTGACTTATAAAACAATAAGATAACAACCAATCAGCAAAAAGCAACATTTTTTTTTTTATTTGAAGCCCAACTCTAGAAGAACTTGGTGAGAAATAGTAAGTGTTCAAAGTGACTCACTGCATTGAAATTTAAACTTCAAACTTCTTCAGATAATTTGATTTATTGTTAATGTGTTTTAAGTAGTGTTGCACCGATACCGATACCAGTTTCGTTCAGGGCCCCGATACTGCCCTAAAATGGTGGTATCGGTATTGGCGAGCACCAACAAATAGGGCACCGATACCGTTTTGAGAGCCATAAGTTTATTCAACTATTGTCACCCACTCCTGGTAGGCAATAAAAAGTTCTACTGGTTTCACTTTGTATTAGATTTTTTCCTGCTTCACAAAGGTAGGCAGCAGCTTGACAAAGCCATGATGGCAATTATTTTAAATTATTATGGTATCGGGTATCAGTATCGGGGCCAAAAAATGGCATCGGCGCAACACTAGTTTTAAGGACTTTAAGCTCAACATTTTAAGGCTCAATTTCTGATGGACAAACCTACCCATAACTCCCCTCAGAATTTGCCCATCTTCATTGATCTGCCATTGCTATATAGTGTGTTTCATTTTAGGGACGGACAGAGATTTTATTCTCTGGCTTCCTTTGTAAAAACATTACTTCCTGCTGACGACACGATCACAGCTACAGCCGATTCTCTGCAGCTTTTTACACAGAAGGATTTTCATGCAGCCCTATCAGAACCAGTGGGTTCAGGAGGACTCGTCTGTCTTCTGAAATTTGAACACAATGTCTCCAGCTGTGACTTTCAGAGTGGCAGAGACTTTTTTCTAAAACTGTTCTTCGGAAAGATTATTTTCAGTCACTTCATTTATTTTCCTGCAGCTTCACATTTCTGAACTGATGGAGCCTCAGTCACGTTTTACCAATCCTTACATGTTTCTGTGCAGAACTTATTTATGAAGAAGTAATTGACTGGGAGGAGAGGAACAAGAACGGTCTAATGAAAGAAGACTGCTCAGGTTGGTTCAGCTCTGTGGCAGCTTCTATACCCTGTCCTTACTTGGAGTGTTTAAACATCTGGTTCTGTCCCGTTTACCTGTGTCTTGTCTCAGATGTGCCGTCGGGTTCCGCTTCCCAGTCCTCCTCCGCCAATGACATCTCATCCATGTCCACAGAGCACACGCTGGCGTCAGACACGGACAGCAGCAGCATCGACACGCTGACGGGGCCCCTCGATGAGGCCCAGTGAATCTGTGGCCCCGCAGGCGTCTGACTCATCAAAAAAATATTCAAAATATCGATCTTCGGTTTAGGTTTTATCCCTCTTGCTTGTGTTTCTCTTCTAATGAAAATATATTTTTTTGGTTTGTTTACCATTTGTGATCTGGAGGATCATGTTTGGGACTGTTGCCTTGAGGTCAAAAAAAAAAAGAGAGAGAGAACTCTGTTTTCTTTTTCTCTGTGAATGTTAAACCTGATCATCTATATGGTTTGTGGGGTGGGTGGGGAATTAGAGGTTTGCGTCGTATGCCTTTGTTTTAGTAGTTTTTATTTTTTGAAAATATCAAAAGTTTTTGTCATCAAATGAGAGCAGACAGACAAAACAGTTGTTTGCCGCTCTCTGTTGCATGCAACGCCAAAAAGAACAAAAAGCTGATCAGCCACCTTAAGTTCCTCTAATGGTCCATGGCGGATTTTATGAATTTGAACCTTTAGCACCCTGATGGTATTGCAGATGTTCACAGTGGTGCTAGCTGTGCTGAAATGTGTCGTGTTTTTCATGAGCCATCACGTGTGTGTGGATTTCCGGCGTTTTAATCCTGACAGCAGGAAGATGCTGTAGTTTCAGTGTTAGTTTTGTTTCTAGCTATATCGTACTGTATGTAGACACAGGATCAGCCCGTATCATTTGAGGTACTGACAGTTCATTTCTTTAAGCAGATCATCATCCTATAAATCTAAAAGAGGCATAGTGATTCATGTATTTATAAATATATATATTCTTCTTTTTTTTTCTTGCAAAAGTTTGCACACAAGCCACTATATGGTATGTAGGCCTCTTGTTAGAAGCATCTTAAAGTAAAAGCATGGGCTGCTGTTTTTCTAAAGCATTCCTTTAGCATTGGGAGAGGTGAAAAATTAGTGATAATCAGATTATACGTGGAAAGGCAGCACAAAACGAAGAGATGTTTACTTTGCATGATGATCTGACACCTTCAGGATGCTGTAAGTCTAATAGAATCCATCCAGATCTGTTTATTTTGTTTATTCACTAGCGTTATCTTTATGCTAATGATGGAGCATTGTTTGTTTTGTTTTATTTTTGTTTTTTTTTTCCTTTAAGACTGTATGTGTGATATAAAAAGTGTGCAGTGCAGCACTGCTTTTATTTCCTATAGATTAATTCTTATAGTCTGAATTTTCCCCATGTTGTCGTGGAAGAGTCTGTTAGGGAAGTTTGCCCAGGAACAAGGGGATAAAAGATCATTTTACATGAGCTGCAGAGCTGCTTTTTGCCTAAATGATTGCACCGTTTGTTGAAGAATCGGTTTTATGACACTATGGAGTCACTTAAGCACCACATTGTTCACCATCATGATTTTTATTCTTTCTGTCATGCCTTATCCTGACGAGCGGCCAACTTATTCTCTAAATCCTTAGTTCTCTGTTTGAGCTTTTCCGAGATGTATGACTGCAATGACAATGTTAGCACTTGGCCAACATCTTTACCCAAACTCCAAATAATAAAGTGGACATCAGTGATCCATCTTGTTGGTTGTGATGTTCTTCATAAGACGATCTCAGAAACTGAAATATTAAAACTTTTATTTTCAGTTTATTATTTTGAAAGTATAAAACCTAATCAGATTCACTAGAAATAAAAGCCCTTAGTTTAGTTTCTCAAATTACATGTTTAGGAAAATCTGCAGAATTCTTGAAAGGACGATTCATTGTAAACAATCCCTGCGCTGCACAGCTCCTCCGTGATTGGTTCGTTTTCTTATGACATGAATGACTAATAAAGCATGTAGGAGATCAGCGTATGGCTCTGCTGAACTTTGCTTTTCAGCTTGGCTGCATCCTTTATCATCACTCATTTTTCACCAATCAAGGTTGATCATCGTTAAAGCAGGTATTATAATAGAATCAGCAAATGCTAAAACTAGCATCTCAATGAAGCAAATCAGCAGAGGGACACCTGAAGTGTTCCAACATTCTCTGGTAGGCGTCTGCTGACTTTATACTGGATTAAAGACAGAGAACCAATCGAGGAAGATCACATGGATTATCAAAACTTCACAGGCTGAGAAAACAGAACTATGAACCGCCTGTGCAGACTGGGGTGATTAATTTCTACATGAGAGGCAACAGAGCAAAAGGAATTTTTATTTTATTATCGGATGGTTCTGACATCACAGATTAACACTGTAATATTAAAATTTACAGATTAAAACTGTGATAAAATACAAGTGATATTCTAGTTGTTTCCTGGATACAGATGTCTATGTGGCCCTTGAAGAATATAACTGCAGTCCACCTTCTATACTTTACCCAAACCTTTACATGACAGAAACATTCTCAGCAGAGGTGGTTACATTTACACTTTAATAAAAATAAAAAGAAACTTTTAGAACTAGTTTTACTTTGCTGTGCGTCTTACTTTTACTTGAGTAATATTCTTGTCAAGTATCTCTAATCCTTCTTGAGTAAAATCTGACTACTCTGTCTCTGTGAGTAATTTGAATGATTCCAAGATCAGATAAACATATTTATTATTTTTACAGTTTGTAAAAATAAACTAGATATTAGTCTTACCTAAAATATATACAATTCTTACTATAGGAAAAAATGATTGAGGAAAATAGGATAAACAATATTTGGTAGAAGTATTTCTTTGACATTATCTTTTCCTTTATATTATGACTTTTATTTGTGTTTTTTATGCATTTGAGTTGTTCAAATACCAGCCCATGCACATAAAGTGTGTCTACATCATTTCTAAACATTAAATCAGATCTTTGTATCCAACAGTTACTCGGTATTTAAGTAGCTTTTTTAGCAAATTCTTTCTTGATTTTATTGAAGTAATTACTTAGATGGCAACTGTTTTACTTGAGTAAAAAGATCTTGAAATAGTTCTACTTTTACTTGAGTATTTGTAATATTTTGGTGCTCTACCCACCTCTCTCTGATTCTCAGTCATACTACCTGTATTAGACCCCCCACCCCCCGACCCCCAGCTGTCATGTTGTTAGGTGTTGACATAACATCTCTATATCAAAAGTCTTTTTCCAATTACTTCAATGCATGTTTCTTTATGTTGACAGAAGTTACCTAAATATATCCTACAGTTTAAAATAAATCTGTGATCAAAATATCACCCTTTGACTGAAAGTGCAGAAATAAATGTTTAATTACCTACTTTATTGATATGCACATATTACATTTTGTTCAGCTCGTTCATAAAAGCTAAAACTTAAACTCATATTAAGTCCTTATAGCCTTCTTATGTCCTCAATATGACTCATAAACTCTCTTCAGAAACTCTTGACAATGTATTCTGTCTTCTTTGCCTCACTGTTGAGCTCTCCAAAGGTGTCAAAGAACTGATCCATCTCCCGTTGCAGCGTGGCGTTACGGAGCTCTGCAGCAGCTCGGGCCTTCTCAGACTCCATTATCTTAGCCTGGACCACCTGGTACCAATGGCGCTGCTGCGAGAGATTTGTCTTCAGGCGAATAACCTCCACCTGCAGATCCTCATTTCTTTGTTCCAGGCTGATGGCAGTAAGGAAAAAAAAGAAAAGTTAAACAGAGATAAGTGGTTTTATAAGTCAGTCAGAATCATTTTTGAATGTTTTGAGTCTGTCCAATGTAGTTAAGAAGGAGAAATGGGTGAACCTTTTAAAGTTAAAAAAATATATATATTTTTAAATTACCTAAAACAACAAACCATATTGATTATACAATAATAAAACCATTGATAGACCACAATTTGTAGTATTTAAACTCATTGTAAAGTATCAGCAAAGAGCCTTAATAAGCAACAGTTGTTAGCTGTTTGGACAAGCTATAATAACATTTATAAATGATTCAAAGAGTTAAGAAATGGGACGAAATGTTCATGACAAGAAAACGTTTTAAAACAGATGCCAATCTGCCAAAGAGATCAACATCCCAGCAAACTCAGCTCTTGATCAGATCATAAAAAAATCTAAAAACAAGCTCAAAAAAATGGCACAATGCCAAGAGCTACAGGTAAATATTGAGGTTAATATTTATCAATTTACAGTTGGAAAAACACCAAACATTTAATGTTCTTCTGTAAGGTTTTTCTGTAAGGTTTTCTGCTTTACAAAATGGGAACACCGACTGTTTCACTAACTTCTATCCCTAAAGCATCTCACTCTTGGAGCATGCTCAGTAAAGCATGGTGGTGGAAACATGATGGTCTGGGCTTCATCTTCAGTGAATCAAATTGGTCAAAAGTTTTTCAGCTCTAAGGCTAATGATCTTAATTGGACTTTTCTAGATAAAATAAATAAATCAATTCATTTATAAATGAATTAAATAAGGACCATCAGATGCCTCCAATAAAGAACAAAGATCAAAGAGCTAAAAAGTGTATATTTAATGCCACAATTTCAGTATAGATGAATTAAAACATCTGAAAATGTCAACCGTAAAATTTAAATAACTTGGTGTGTTTACTTTATAAAAACAGAAATAATACTCACTATCGTTTGGTGCTTTGTTAAAATACTTTAAATCTGATGCTGCAAAATTTTGTTCTTTCTTTTTTAAAATCATTTTGCTCACAAATATATCACATATAACTATAAATGATCCATGACTGTTGTCTATTTTTAAACTTGGCCATATCTCCTAGATTCCACCAGATCTGCTTGTTTTGGTGATGTTCTATCTTTAATAGGAGAGTGGGATGAATTAAATTTTTCTTAGGGCCCCATATAACCCTTGTGTTCTATGTTCACTGCTGTTGGGTAATCCTGAATAATAAAGCCTGACTCTGTTGTACCTTTGGTTTTTCTAACAATTCTTACAGCTTATATTTCTTCCACCCTGTGTTTATTCAGACAATTTGTAACTATTATATGTGATCAACTTCCTTCTTGCTCATTTTAGACCCGAATAAACACAATTCAACCTTATTTCATCGAACATCAACCTTTATAGTTCAGCTTCTTTTGACCCTTGGAGCTGTCCTCTTATGCTCCCTGTCATATCATGGGAATTGTGATAGCCTCTTGTCTTCACTGGCTGGGTACCAATGCGTGACCTTACACCGACACATGCTCTATCTATATCGGTAATAAATGAGCTATGTGTTGTGTCTAGGTCAGCAGCATGGCCCCTTAAATTAGCTCTCTTTCCAGTGTCATGAGCTGTTTTCTATATGTCAGCAAGTCAAGCTTTTTTTCCACTGTGCACCAACCATCTGTTTAGCCATTAAATTACAAACTTGGATTCAGAGAAGGCAGACCAAGTCAGTTTTATTTGCACTAGTAAAGGCGGGGTTTTTTTGGGATCATACTACGTCACCAGAGACCTGTGGGATCATTTAGCTCTGTAAGCCAAACAGGATGTAGGGTGAAAGTTGAAGTGAACTTGGAAACAGAAACAGCGCAGCTTTTTGTAGAGGCACCGTTTATGGATACAGGAACATTGTGTTACCTTCACTGAAATGCACCATAAATCCATCTTAAATGCATTAATTAGTACCGCTCCAGCGTTTACACAATTTGTTTTCTTTTAAATATCAAATTCTGACTTATAAAGTGAAAATTAATGTCAATTGTAAGGCAAATATATGTAGTTTTTATTTTACAAATAAAAATCTTATTAGTTGTGACTATAGTTCCTCACTGAAACCGACTAGCTGCAGAGGTTTTCTAATTAGATGCTCAGTGAAGTATCAGAGGTTTGTTGATAAAATGCTGATTAATTAGGATCATCGTGGAGACAAAGAACACACTAGATAGATTAGAGATAAAATAATAGGGACTTTTAGAGCTTGTTTAGATTACGAAACATTTGCATAGATTTGGTTCTTGTAATCTGAAACAGAGTATGGCACAACTGCAAACCTACAAGGACATGACCAGCAACCCAAAGTGACAGGTTAGGAATTAATTTATTTGCTCTGCTTTATGTTGGTCACAACAAAATACTAATGTAAAGTTATATAATGAGGCAAAATTAAAGGAGTTTAATTTCTTTCTAAAGTACTGTGAGTGAACTAAATTGGCCATTTTTAATCCTAGAACCAAATTTCCAATCACCTGATGATTCGCTCCTCGTACTCCTCTCTCTGCTTGATGATCTGCTGCTGGAGGCCTGTCAGGATGCTTCTTAGAGCGCTTGCAGACGGGTCAGCCAGGGGAACAGGAGGTGGCACCCTCAGAGACACTGGACCCTCCTTTGAACACTTGCTTTCAGCAAGGGGCCACAGATCCTGGCACTTCATGTGGCCTGTCTGGGAAGGCTGTTGAAGGTCCTGTCGATGGCAGGATCCTGAGTCCAGCTCTGGTTCCTGCTTCTTGTCTTGGTCTGGATTCTGCTCCTGTTTACGTGAAAAACGGTCACCAATGGAGATGTCAGAAGAGGGCCAGATGTTCTTGTCTTTGCTCAGAGGATCACTTTGCATTGGTTCTTCAGTACGCTCAGGGACCCATGGATTGTGCATGTGCTTGTTGAGATGCTCCTGCAGGTTCATCTCTATGTCGAAGACCTCCTCCAAGCTGCTGGGTATTCCTGTTTCTGTGAGGTTATCATACAGTGACAAAGCGCTTCGATGCTCTTCGCCGTGTGACGGGCAGGGGCTTCGGCTCTGATAAGCCCCATCCTCTGTTTGCCAGTTAACTCCCTGTTGTCCTCCTCTTTTGTATTTGTTTGAAAGAAGCTCTGATTCCCAGGCTTGTCTTCCCAGGCTGCCTCTGCAGCTGCAGTAACTGGGATCTGGCCAAGAGCCAGGCTCTCTTCCTCCAACAACCCCTGTCTGAACCTCAGCCAGAGATGTGACCAAACCAGGCAGAGGGCTGCTGGACCCTGGGAGTCTGGTTACTAAAGGAAACTCAACCCTGCTCTCCATTTCCATCTCCCTGGCCCTGCCTCGCTGGCCAAAAGGTGGACAGTTGTCATACAGGGGATCCGAGGAGCAGGAGCTGGCAGAGGTGGGGGTCTCAGTTGGAAGACAGGGCAGCTCCATAATCCAAGCAGGCACATGGGATTTCAAAGAGCAGTGGACAACCCTACCCCTTGCAGTAAAACTGGGATTAAAGGCCGGGTTTGTGGATTAGTGTGCGCGGCATGGAGCCTCTCTGTGCCAGGTTCTTGATGCTCTGGGGGTTAGCTGAAGGAAGGTGCAGGAACCCTGCTCCCCTCTCTGCTCTGCCTTTGATGACACTGCTGGACAGGTTCTAGTGTGAGTGTAGCCACCAGGGACTGTGTGTGTATGTCTTTAAGCAGGACTGACATCAGCTGTTACTTTAGCACAGCTCCTGGGGGAGGAACCAGGGTGTAACATAGTCCGGCTCATTCCTGAAGACAGTCACACATAACTGAGACCACAGAAATAGATGCTGTTTGTGGGCTCAAAGTGTGAAAGACAGACAATAAATCTGAATATGGTGCAGCAGTAAGATATAAAAAACATGGATTTGAAATATAATTTTGTGTTACTCTATATTTAAGAGTTGAATTGTCATATATGTATGAAGTAGAAAGGTTATTATGGGGGGATTTTAACATAGACCATGGGTTATGATCCTTTCCTGCTAATTGTGAGGATATAACCATCTTTCTGTACATTAACGTGACCATAAGAACACTGCTGATTATTCTATATGTTAATTTTTTAGATAAATACATAGTACTTGAGTATTATGTGAATGCATACGCTTTTCAAATGTTTTATTTTTCTTATCTGGCAAAACAATCCATGCATTTCCAATTTACTAATGTCTGATCTGTGAATTGTAGTGTGAGCAGAGGATTTCTGCAGGGGGCCTCAAGGTAAAAAAAAAAAAAAAAAAAAAAAAAAACAACTTCCTTTTTTTATCTAAACATTTTAATTCAGTTAACACCAAATTTTACATATAGGGACAATGATTTTAGTCAAATTAGAAAAACAAAGTACCGTAATTGTCATTTTTTTGTCAAACTTTATTGAGTTGCCAGTAATTCTACCATTAGGTTGCTGGTTATTTCAAAACTGAAAGTTCATCTAACTTTCATGCTTTTCTTATGAAATACTGGAATTAAAGGCTCAGTGTTCTTATAATGTTCAATCTAAACAGTTCAAATACCACATAAAGTATTGATGCCTATCAAAATAACATTGTATGTTCTGTACAATGACAATAAAACATTTTATTTCATTCTAATTTAAGTAAAAAGTTGACCTATAGTTAAGTGAGCATAGCTTACCAGTAATCAGGCAAAGTCAAGGTCCGAGGTTTGAAACTTAGACTGTTGCTCTCCCTGAAAGAGGACAAGGTTAGGTAAAAATGTAGATGGCAAATTTCCATGCTAAGGGACAATAACCTCTATAACCTCAGGTCTGATTCTTAAGAAATATGTTTAAGATTTGGAGTTTATCAGATTTTCTAGGTCACCACTACTTTACAGTTGAAAAAAAAAAAACATTTCAAGTTTGACAAACTTAAAATCAAATGAAACTTTATTTCACAGTGTGGCTGCTTCTCTAATTGTGTCATAGTCTTGGTTCTGTTAAGTTTTCTTTTGTGTATTCTGTTTTACTTTTTTCGATGTTTTCTAGTTTTAGTGGTTTAATTTTTATTTTGTTGTGTTTTCTGGTTATTTTCAGTTTTCAGGTTTTTAATTTGTTGCCCTCTGCTGCCCTCTTGTGTTCTCCTTTTTCCCTAGCTCCTTTCCTGTTCTGCTCTCTTCACACCTGCTCCCATTCTGCTTGTTAGTCCTCTCTTTGTTTCAGTCTCCCATAAATACACTCTCTGTTCAGTTCCACAGTGTTGGTTCCTCGTCTAACTTCCTCCAACTCCGTCTCTCTGAGGCCTCCTCCTCGTGATTGTTTCCCCCCAGATGTCTCCATGGTTTCTTGTTTGTTTAACTTTTTTCTTGTTGGATTTTTTGGAATTTTTGATTCCTGCCTCAGTTGTTTGTTTACCTTTGATTAATTCATCAAGAAACTCACCTCTGCCTCCCTGACTCTGCATTTGGGTCTGCACACCTTAACCCAATCCTGACAAGTTGATGCTTTCCCGGTATTGGCTATCAGTTGATGTATCCTGGTAGGATTGCTAATTTTTATTATGAGATTACTCCCTGCGAAAAACATAATGCTTAAAATATCTGCTTCTAACATAACCCTGCTTTAACCTGTTGTGTTCTTTGGTCATCGTCACGCTGTTTGTTCACAAACCACTGAGGTCTTCACACAACAGCTGGATTTAAACTGTGATTAAATTACACACAGATGTGCTAATAATGTGTCCTCTAAAACAAACTGATTCCTCTGAACTTTATTTAGAGGTGTAACAGAACAAGGGGCTTAATAGAAAGGAACAACCTGCTACTCAGGTGTTCCTATTTTATTATTATTTTTTATTACAAACCATTTATCATTTTCCATCTTCTTGTACTAAACCTTAATGTCACAGCGGGCATTTGTATATTTTTTCCTTCTGAGTTTTGTTTAAATTCAATATTTTTTTTTAAATAGTATTGTTTAAAACAGTAGATTGTAAAAGGTGGCTCTGAATCCCTATTTTACTAGTTTGTGTCTTTATCGAGTCATTATGGCACATTATTTTCAATTTGTCATGAATTTTACAAAACAATTTGTCAATGTAACTATATGGACTGTTAGAGTTTTCACATTTAGTGTGTAAAAGACCACAAGAGGGAGCCTTAGACAGCATTTTGAGTGGGTTCTGATACAGTTTTAATGAGCAGTTATTGGATGACTTCTTGAGAATTGAAATCCTGCAGTTCTTTCACTCCTGTTTAATGACAAGATTAATGTTTTTGCCTTCTAAATGTGTATATATATATATATATATATATATATATATATATATGTGTGTGGGTTTTTCATTTCACGTTTAATCTAAAGCACAAGTGCATATTTGGTTGCTACTTGTTTAACAAATTAAAATGTGTTAGCAAAAGAGAATGTGACTATAAAAGCATAATCATTGGGTCTCTTTTTTTTTTTTTTTACATGCAGTGGGGGTTGTAAAGTCCACTTTACAACAGGATGTCAGAGTTTCTGAGGTAAGTGTTTAATTCTAAGTATTGTCAATTTCTTATTCATCACTGCAGTGTCTCTAAAATCCCAGATCTATGGCATCTTTCACTCTTCTACTCCAGTCTAAGCATCGACACTGTCAGCACTGATAGAACGGCTCCTTTATCTGCCCACATTTAAATCATTCAATGCGTCACAGATTTTTTATTTTTTTTAACCTGCAATGCAAAAAATGTAATTTCCTAAGAATACCAGAAACTATTACTGTATTTCTCAGATAAAAGAACTGTTCAATATTATTCTGCCTTTAGAAGTAGGCCTGAATTATTCTGACCTATCCTTGGTGAAATACCCGGTCTCCTTATTTATCATTCAAGAAAGGAAAAGCTAAAATCCCTCCTTTCCTCCGTCACCCTCAGACCCTGAAACTCATCCCCACTTGATCTCCAACCTTGTAGAGGCTGAGCCTCCCTAAAGGACCTCTCATCATCTCTTTCCTCCATCAATCTCTGCTTCCTGTATGTCTGCGTAGTTATTTGTCGTCATGACAACAGAGTCCATGGTAACGAGGTCCCTATGGTGCTAAATAATAAAGGTAGATCTAATGGCAGTACCAGTGGGATCTCTGTGACTACTTATGAAAGTACCTCGATGGAGAGCAATTAAGTAAGGCCTTTGTTAAGAAGAGACAGAGCGTACGTAACAGGCAGAGGCTCCAAAGGCAACAGCCATCTTTTCTTTGAAAAGTGGGAGATTCAGCCCCTGCTAAAGAATCATGATTCATGACTGTCAAGGAGTCCAAAGAAATATCACAAAAAAAGCACAAGCATGAATAGTGTGAGCACCAGAAAGAGGTCAGGAGTACAGAAAGAATCCTGGAGGGAGATAAGAGCAAATGGATACGCAACATAGACAATAATGGATGTGTGTGTGCAGCAACATCTACAAACAAGCAAATTATCATGGATCTGACTTCATGGACCTCATTCTCTTTGGTTAAAACAGACTTACAGATTATTTCTCTTTGAGTTTTTAGTGTTGCAGCCCAAACAACAGGTTTCATAGGAATGGGAAAGACATTCAATTACTAACTTTCTTTTGTGTTAAGGTTTAGTTATTAAAATATGATTGAATTAAATCATTTACATCTTTGTGGTATTAAAATCACATTTTCACAGACTTATCCAAAAAACTGTATTTGCAACAAAATACCTTGCGTAAGATACGCTTTCAGTTTAGGAAGCAAAGCGCTATTTCACAAAATGTGTGTGTTCTTTTTGTCAATGCAAAGCACACCTTAAAGTATGATGATAAAATGATTAGAAGCTAAAGAATGAGAAGCTTTTATACTTAGAGGTGAAATGTAGGTGGGACAAGCAGTTCCCCCCTAAACCAGAGGGTGGCAGCAGTGACTACTAAGAGACTCAGCATCAGACTCAAAATGTCTGAAGAATGTTTCTGAAGAGTAAAATACAAGAAAAGGTAACATTGTTTGATTATTAGCAGGATCAATGGAAAACTTATAAATGGATTTTATGGAAGCCTCATTCCAACAAACTAATAATTAAAATTAGCTAATGATGCAGATCGTGTGTGTTATTGTTTTGGCTCTGTTAAGTTTTCTTTGAGTTTTCAGTTTCATGTTGATTCATGTTTTTCTTTTCTAATTTTATTCCTGTTTTTGTGTTTGTGGATGTATTTGAGTTCTCAGATTTTTCTTTGTTACCCTCTGTTGCCCTCTTGCATTAGTCTCCTTTTCCTTAGCTCTTTCTCTAGCCTCTGTTCACACCTGCTCCCAATCAGTTCATTAGTCCTAGCTTTGTTCAGTCAACCTTAAAGTGGAGTGTGTCCGCGCGCCGGACTGGAGTTGTAACAAGCAGCCCGGGCCACAGGCGGCTACGCTCTACCCCTTCTATTCATTCGGCGAGCTAATCTGAATCATTCAATTCCATTTTGAGAGCGAGATCATCTGTGGTATTAGCACAAGACATCTTCCAAGCATGTGGGTAAAACTAGCAGCAGTTCAGCAGACAGAACGAATGAATGGTAGCCGGCGCGCGCGGATTACGTCATACACGCACCGCTTTGTTTTTGAAAAATCTAACTATAAAAAATATAACCCCGGATGTCTGGGGGACAGTGACTCCTCTAAATGTTATGAATGCTGGCGTACCATGCAGAATAAAATATGAAAGGTTTAGTTAGCGCCTTGAAGTCGTTTGCCCATAGGAAGACGTTACTTGGATATAACCCAACCGAATATCTTCAGAACAGCTCCAAATGACACAAAAATAATATGGGTGAGTAGAACATGATGTAATAATGCAAAATCAAAGGCCCAATGTAAAAAAAAAAAAAAAAAACGAAGAGAAAAAAAACCTGCTGTTCCCTTTTAAATACTCTCACTGTGCAGTTCCTCAGTGCTGGTTCCTCGTCTTACCTCGTATCTCTTCATCTTTCCTTGGCTCCCTGTGCTTGTTTTTACCCTGACGCCACCATGGTTCTGGTTTGTGTATCATTTTAAGTTGGATTTTTGGATTTCTGCCTCTG